AATTTCCACTATTAGGCATTAGCAGTCTTGTCTCCTGATACTAACTTTGCAAAGGTATAAATAAACGCCCCTGCTGTTGTTCTTGGGGTGGCCTGCCCATCAGGCACACAGACCACAGTCTGGCCCAGCTCCTGTCTTCTTGTCTGTTTTCCTCATTCTTTCTGTGGTTTCTCCCTGGGGTACAGGGAGAGACCAGTGAGTGCCTAAGAGGCCTGGCTTTGAATTGTAATCCTGCAACTTACTGTGTGCCCTCCATACTCGAAGCCCAAGCTTCCTTCCCTGTAAAATGGGGAGCACAGCACTTAATGTAGAACAGAATCATGAGGAGAGTGCTGCTCACACACAGCAGCTCCACACGTCGAATCTGCCCACCCAGCAGGTATTCACGGTGCCTATAATGAGCCAGATCCTGCTCTGACTGCTAGAAGCAGGACAATCATCAAAACTGGACGTGCTGGGTAAGGTCATGCGCTCATGGGCTGGGGGGAGAGGCCACAATCAAACATGCAGAACGTCAGGCGATTGCCTGTGTCCTGGCAGACATTGGCTGGGGCTAAGAGTGCCGCTGGACTGCGTGGAGCTGAAGTGACACCAGGAGTTACTGCTCAGATCTCAAGGCAGGGACTGTGGGGGTCACTTGGGCTTGCTTCCAAAGAGCTGATTTATAGATTGGTTTGGAAGCAAAACGAACACACAGAAGACAGGAAGCTGCTGAAGAACAACTAGTCACCTTACAAGTGCTGTCCTACCTGCCCGAGAACTGCTCACAGGAGAGAAGAGGGGTGACAGTGCCTTCACTCCCCCCCCCCCCAGCCCCTAGTCCACTAATCCAGGAAAGGATTTGCTCAGAGACCTAACCCTCGCCCTCATTTGGGGGTCGCTAGTTCTCACCCAGCAGAAGGAAGTAGCTTGGACACTTCTCCTCATCTGGGGCATGAGTCAGGGTTTCCTTGGCACGCCAGCACCAGTCAGGGGCTGCCCACACCGGGCCGTGGGAACAAGACTGGATGGGAAATGCTCCTATCTCTAACTCTGCCAAATCCCAGTTCCAGGAATGCCCAAGATCTTTCAAGGTAATTATCTCCCGGATGCAATTTTATTACAAATCATTAACTCACTGATTGGAAAACACAGCGTTTATGCACCAGTGGAACTGCCCATCCCAGCAAACAGATGGAAGTGCTGGCAGCCAGCAGACTGTGCCAGGCCCAGGGCAGCTCCTGCCAACCTTGAGGGGATACCGACGCATGGTGGTTCTGCCGACCTGTGTGGAAGAGGATGCTCCCAGGAGTTTCAGGGGCCAGAATGCTGAGAAAGACAAGGGTTAAATGGAAAGAGGCAAAAATGAACTCGAAGTGCAACTGTAACAATGGCTTCCCAAGTTGTTTCAATGTGGGTGTCCTCGCTGTAAGAGGAGAGGCTGCACCCTCCCCACCCAGCTGGAGTGCAGCAAGGGCCTACCTGAGCGCTGGGCTGCCTGCCTTGAGTATGTCTAGACGTAGCAGCTACCTCTTTGCGTGGGCTGTGAGAAAGCGGGGGAGGCTCTGAGCAGTGTCCAGCACACGCAGGCCTCTGTGTTTGCTTTTCTTCTCTGTGACAAAATACCTGAGAAGAGGAGCTTAAAGGAGGAAAGGTTTATCCTGGCTCATTTTCAGGGGCTTCACTGCTTTTAGCCCTGTAGTGAGGCAGAGATATTGCGGGGGAAGGGAGTGGTGGAAGAGCTTCAGACTTCAGATCTGATCCCCTTTGGAGCCAGAATCCTTGTTCTTCCTGTGATGTGATTCCATCCGCCACTCCCTCACCTGTCAAGGAACTTGAACTCCTGAAACATCCAGAAGCACTCGCTAAGGGCAAGAGCGTCAGTGATACTGGATCTAAGGCTGGGGACACAGCTGGGACAAAGCTGCTGAAAAGATCCAGGCACATATCAGGAAATACTCCAAATTCGAATTTTTAAGTAATTTCACTGGTAAGGAGTTAGAAACCAAGCCATGCTAAGTGGGGACATAGTCTGTTTTTAGACTTTCTCTCAGATTCCTCCCACGAGGCTCAGGCTAGCTGCTCTCTGCACTGTTTGGCCCAGGTCCTGGCCCCTGTGGTCCTCATGCCACAATGTCACCTATGGCCTAGTTCTGCTGCCTGAGGCCCATTGCTGAACTCTTAGAAGCGGGTGTTGGGAGCCACAGCTAAGACCAAGAGAATAAGCTCTGCAGTGCCTACAAGCACACAGCACCTGTTTTTCCTGTCTGGAGCTGCCTTCCCGTGGGCCTGATGTTTTTCTTCGCTTCCTACAGTGACTGTTTTCCCCCTGAGAACTGGTTTTCGGTTGGTTTTGCTTGCAAACATGCCTGGCTCCTCTGCAGCACAGTTGGTGTCTCTGGAATCTCTTGCTGGCACAAGATGGGAAAAATGGAGCTCAGGTGAAGACACTATTTAAAAAAAAAAAAAAAAA